GGGGGGGGGAGGGGGGGGGTGCTACGGCCACCGGAACGTCTAGTTCTAATACCCTCCTCAGTCAGACCGACCATCCAACGAACGTCCCCTGCACACCTGACGCAGGGGCGCTCAGCTGTTGTTTGTTTTGCCGGCGGGCATAAATTGGGATCGCACGTCCATTTTCGCAGACCGCGCTCGTGCTCGATCTCATTTGTTTCATTTTCTTCATCAGGTCACAGCGAACCATTACGCAGGTAACGCTTGTGAAAATCACCAGTGATGCAAGTTTTTGGATGCAAAGCTTCATGTGCATTGCTACCTTAGTCTTAAGCTCATACCTAGAGATTCGAAACTTTCTTCCTGTGGATGAGTCTTGCGTCTTGCTTTTGTTGTTTTTCGTCTTCTCTTCTAATGATAATTAGCACTGGGAGAAGCGAAAAAGCGATTTATGAACCAGAGGTTCCACAAAGGCCGCAGGGCAGTGTGAATGTCACGAAGCGATATTGTTTGTGGTGTACCTGGAGACTCTCTATGCTTTTTCCCTCTTTGGGATCACTTATCAGCTACAGATTTTAGAGGGACTGAACAACAACTATCCATGACGACTAAACGCAGGAACTGTTTCCAGGATGAAGCTCGACCCTGCCTGTACTAGAACGAAAGCCAAGCGCAGTGCTTAATATTGTCTGAGGGAATTCTAAGTCGTGAGTTGTTAACTCACTCTCGACCAACCTCTCTGTCCCTTCCTTCGGCGCTGTGGAATGCTCCCCTTGAATTCCTGCTTTTGTAGAATTTTGAATCCCATTCAGCCGTGAAATAGATTGCGTTGACGATAAGGGAGTATGCACCTGCAAGAGGCTCATCAGTCTTCTTCAGGCTCAGCCTTTAACTGCAACGAACGAAGTACAACGACGTAACTCATAACTCTGGCTTTACGTGTTCCTTCAGTGACAGTTTCTGAAAGGTAGTCCAAATCTCTAAAACCGCCCACCGCACCTCAGGGATATGTAGTGTATGTGAGCTAAAGAGATAATTCCTTGAGGGCCAAGTGGCGTTCCTCGTCCAGCGACCTCTGTGGCAAATTCCTTCTGTTCATCGCCTCAGAGGGGTCCGCTAATGAGGGAAGCATGTGACGAGGCCCACCCCGTTCACTCGATCAGCTTGCAAGGGAACCCCAACAGGTCGATCCGGCCATTTGCAATGAAATAAATATAGATGGACATGTATCAGGCCGCTGAACTCAAACCTGCCCTCAGAATTTGCGGGACGATTCCTTGAGGGAGTTA